CCCATTAATTTAGAAGGCTTCATTGGTATGCTGAAGAGTGGGCCAAAACTTCTCCGGTAAACTCCAGGTGGCTTAGGTCTTTGGAACAGAGAAACCAAATACAGGAAGTTAAATGTATTTCATTCAGATGTATTATTTTTGGAGCCAACACACAGGGAAAATAACTATTTCCCCCCCGTGGATTTTGGCAGGATATTATTTCTCCTTGCCTTGGCAAGGAAATGTTTCCTTCTGGGCTGGATATCAGATGTGGCACCTCCACAGAGTTGCTGGTTTGCTTTCATGTGCCTAACGAGGAAGTGAGAAGTGGATGCCTGCAAAAATTAATCTTCTGGCTTCTGAAGGTGAGGCCATAATTTAGTTTCTGGAACACCTTTTGATCGTGGTCTGATCCTCTTGCAAAGAATTAAGCAGGGGGATGGGATCATCATACCTTTCCTAGGGGAAGCAGTTGTGTTGTTTTAATGTGTGTGTGTGGGGAGGGCGCTACAGATACCCGGGTTCAAGACGCCACTCAATCCTGGCGCTTACTGGAAAGTTCAAGTAGAGTGCCCTCTGCATCATCTTACACTCTTGTGATCTGTGGTTACAACAGTAAACCTAGTTACTTGTCATCTGTTACTTGATGGCTATCGGAGAAGGAAAAGGAGAAAGATCACCTCTGGTGGGAATGTAAAGGAGTTTCTAGTTGGAACAACATGGCCACAAAGAGTTTTGAAGATAACAACAGGTTTGTGTTTAATTCATCTTAGGCAGGAGTAGGAAACCTTGGCTCTTTTATGACTCATGGACTTCAACTCCCACAGTTCCTGAGCCAGCGTGGAAACCTCTCCCTTTCCCCTCAGCACGGCTGGCTCAGGAATTCTGGGAGTTGAAGTCCACAAGTCATTTTTGAGGCTGCCTACCCCTGATCTTAGGGGACCTCTGAGCAAATCTATACAGGTAATCCTCAACTTTACAACCACAGCTGAGCCCAAAATTTCTGTTGCTAAGTAAGACCGTTGTTTTGGTCCACCCACCCCCATTTTATGACCCTTTCTTCCCACAGTGGTTAACCCAAATCACTGCAGATGTTACGTTAGTAACAGGGTTGTTAAGTGAATCGGGTTCCCCCACTGATTTTGCTTGTCGGAAGGAAGGCCGCAAAAAAGTCCTTAGATGACCCTGGGACGTTGCAACCGTCATAAATCCGTGCTGGTTTTGCCAAGCGTCCCAATTTTGATCACTTGACCAGTTTCATAAGTGTGAAAACCAGTCATAACTCACTTATTTCAGTGCCGCTGTACCTACAAACGGTCACGAAACGAAGGTGGGCCAGTCCAGGACTGTCCGTGTGCTGTTTTCATGGTGGTTAATTACAGAGCAGGTACCTTTTCTAAAAAAAAAAAGAAAAAGCAACCTGGTTCTTCACTCCTTTAACATATAAACCTTGAACTAACATTGATGAACAAAGACCATTTTTGGCAAACCAACCAGGGAAAGATATGACACCGTTTGCCGCATCAGGAAGCACCCCGCTGTTCCCTTGTAATTATAACGCTCTCCAGCCTGTGGGGTTGCCTGGTCTTCCATAATGAATCTGCCAAGCTAGTCTAGTCGTTGTCCCTCTTGACAAAAAGCCATTGTCGGTGCAGGAAGCCTCCGTGACGAGACCGTTGCCTACTTTACTTGCACGACAGCTACTTATCGGTCCTGGTGGATGATGGGACGGACCCCTATTCCATACTCCTTAGCCAATCCTCTCAATAGCCTCCTGCGCTCTCCTCCACCTCTTTGGCCTTGTCCTTCTCTTTCTCCTCCTTGTAGAAAGTTTCTTCCTGGGCATCAGGGAGCTTGTTTAGCAGACCATATTGTCGAGGAAGAGACATCATTTGTTGCACGAAGCTGGCCAGTCAACTGGGGTATAATTAAGGCTCGGAGAACAGGCTGTCTTCACCACAGGAAGGGCATGTTAGATATTGCAAGATTCTGGAGCTGTCAGTTTGGCCGAAGCGAGAAGACGGAAAGCCTGCGAAAAACTCTCTCTTTCATTTACAATCCCTTTATGTACAGCGTCTGCACTTGGCAAAAGTTTATCTCTAAACTATTGGCTCTCGGTGACGGACTAAAGAGGCCGGATTAGCATATGTTAAATGTATATTTTAGTGATATATATATATATATATATATATATATATATATATATATATATATATATATATATATATATATATATATTCAAAATTATAGTGTTCACAGTATGTACACAGTATATACAGTGCTTTTTTCTTAAAAAAAAAAAAAGGTGTCGGAACTCACACACTTCATACAACCCGCCTTGCCTACCCTACAAGGTTCCATCCAAAAAGGGTATTAGAACTCAGTTCTGGGCACTGGGTTCGCATGATGCTGGGCGTGTGAAAATCCCAATCTTTTTGTCGGGATGATGGGTTTCACATTAAAAAGGCAGGGAGACTAAATGAAGAAAAGCCGTTTTAATTTTTAACAGTTTTTCGGTTCAGCCTAAGAAACGGCATTTTTGACAGTTTTAACTGACATTTGAATAATTGGATTAATTTGTGGAAGGAAGCCAGATCTTCATTCGGGGCTCAGGCGTCTGCCTTGCATGCTGTCCGTCTGCTATATACATACACACACACAGAGACAAACAGACACATACTGTACACACACACACACACACATATATATATACACACACACACATACATATACATATGTACATATGTACGTGGTGTGTGTGTGTGTGTGTGTGTGTGTGTGTGTGTGTGTGTGTCTTTGATAATTTTGAATATTGGAATCCCAGGTATGGACATTTAAAGTCAATAAGATAAAAACAACGAACTCAGGGATGTAAGGCTTAGCAATTAAAAGCCTTTTGCCTTACATCCCGGAGTTCGTTGTTTTTATCTTATTGACTTTAAATATATATATTATAACAACAACAACAACAACAACAATAATTCCAGCAGCCGTTCCTTATATGCTTTAGCCTCCAGTCCCCTGATCATCTTTGTTGCTCTTCTCTGTAATCTTTCTAGAGTCTCAACATCTTTTTTACAGCGCGGTGACCAAAACTGGATGCAGTATTCCAAGTGTGGCCTTACCAAGGCCTTGTAAAGTGGTATTAACGCTTCACATGATCTTGATTCTATCCCTCTGTTAATGCAGCCTAGCACTGTGTTGCCCTTTTTGGCAGCTGCAGCACACGGCTGGCTCATATTTAGATGATTGTCCACTAGGACTCCGAGGTCCCTCTCACAGTTACTACTATTGAACAAGGTACCCCCTATACTATACCTTTGCATTTGGTTTTTCTTGCCTAAATGTAGAACCTTGCTTTTTTCATCATTGAATTTCATTTTGTTAGAAGTGCCCAGTGTTCAAGTCTGTCTGTATCGCCCTAAAAAATGAAGGACTGTAGTGTTCTCTTTAAAGCAGTGGTTCTCAACCTGTGGGTCGGGACCCCATTTGGGGTCGAACGACTATTTCACGGGGGTCGCCAAACAAGGCTGTCCGCCATTTCCCCCCCTTTTCTTTGGCCACGCCCCTGGCACCCGGTGATGTATAAGTGGTTGGGGATCACCACAACATGGGGAACCGTATTATGGGGTCGCGGCATTAGAAAGGTTGAGAACCACTGCTTTAAAGCAACGCAGTAAGAATTATCTAATAAATTGAGGAGGGCAAACGATTGAGAGGGAAATATTAACCCTTAACGTGGTAGTTAAATAGCATAGTTATTGGAATTCTGAAACCACCACTGAGTTGGCTTTTCAGAAATCAGCACTGAAGGAGAGAAAACCCAAGATGTCAATGGAGACAAGAAGAGTAAATGAATAAATGAGTTGCTTAGACAAAACTACTCTGGAATCCAATTGTTTGGTGATCGATGGATCACTAGAGAATTGGCATCTTCCCTTTCAGAAAAAGATTCTCCAGAGCTCAACTTAGAATAGACTAAGACCTACCCTCAAGCCATCTACTTATCCACGATGGGAATCAAGTAGTTGTCTGTGTGGATCTTTGATCTTCTGAATGACTTCTTTTAGATCATTGCAGGGATCTTTGTTCTCCAGAACCACATCTTTTAGATGCCTGCATGGATCCTTGTTCTCTAGAACCACATCTTTTAGACGTCTGCATGGATGTTTACGCTCCAGAACCACATCTTTTAGATGTCTGCATGGATGTTTGTGCTCCAGAACCACATCTTTTTAGATATCTGTGTGCATCTTTTATCTCCAGAATGACATATTTTAGATGTATCTCCTGAAAGAGGCAAAATGATCATAGCAGAAAGAATTTCATTCCGGTAGGGAGAATCCAACTAATGACCTCTCGTAGCCTCGTAGTGGTTTGGGTTTGGGAGAGCGACTTGAAAAGAAATGAAATAGGAAGGGCCTTACTGCTGTCCCATTTGTAACTTTACTCAAGCTGTAATCATGTTGATTGTCTTACATTAACCTTCTAATTTTCAATTTGGGGTTTTGCTACATAATCTCTAAGAGAGTACATTTAATCGTCATGCGTCCCGTAGCCTTTATATAAACTCAATGCGTTCGCTCCATGTGTCTCTGCTAAGTGGAGCAGCGTCTTCTGGCTGAGCCGTAGAGACATTAAATTACTAAGTAAATCAATACAGCATTGTTATGTCACCGTATCTTTTTCAAAGACCAGCTCAAATTTAGTCCGCTGTTCCTTTGATCCATTCCATTTAGTTGTAAGTACACTTGTATTATACTAACTGTTGTTTGTATGTTATTTTAGGTTGTTGAGTGTTTTCTTTTTTCTAAATAAAAAAATCTGAAGTAGCTATTTAGCAATTTAAATGAAAATGTAATTAGGTTACATCTGTTTTACATGCACATAATTCCATGCAGATGTAAAGATTTATTAAAGCCATATTTTCTTTTAGGCAAACTCCCCCTTTCACCCTTCCCTTCCCCCCTCCCTCCCTGCCAATTTTAGCAATCAAGAAGCAAATATTTCTCTTTTCTCAGGAAAAAAAAGAGGAAAAAAAAGAAACCCAATTTGAGGAAACAAAGCTGTGTATTTCCAGAAGAAGCAGAAGTGACAAAGTAAACAATATGTTAATTACATTATTTATGAGCACAGTTTCAAAGTTGGAAAGCCGTGTTTGGGCAATTAAGAGAGACACATACTTGTCTCAGGAATGGGAGGTAGAAAGTTTAATCAGATCCTATTTTCACTCGTTAATTTAAAGAAAAATGACACAAGGATTTAACAGGGAGGGGTGCAAGGGAATGATTGGAAAATTGGGGGTAGTTTACAACACTCAGGATTCAAGATTCAAATCCCACTTTAGTCTACCCACCAGGTGGTGGTGACCAAGTCATGTTTTCCATCTCTTGGGACTCTCAGTTGCCCTTATGATGGACTTTCCATTGTATGCAGGTTTTACAAGCCATCTCACCTCTAGTATCTCTCCTCACCTCTAGTATCTCTCCTCTCCTCTAGTATCTCTCCTCTCCTCTCCTGGTCTCCTAATCTCTGTATTTTATAATATCTGCCTGTCTACAGTATCTGTAATCTATAGTGTCTATCTATCTATCTATCTATCTATCTATCTATCTATCTATCTATCTATCTATCTATCTATCTATCTATCTATTTCTGTGTGGATCCATCCATCCATCATCTATATCTATGCGTCTGTCTGTCTGTCTGTCTCATCTATAGTGTCTCTGCCTGTCTACAATATCTACCATCTATTTATAGTATCTGTGTCATTTATCTTTCTCTCTCTCTCTCATTTTTATTCATACCCTGCTGTGTTTTCAGGGAAAATCTTGAGAATTTAAACCTGTCAGAAGCCCCCAGTAATGAAAGATGGTCTTCTCCAAACAGACCCAGTCACGGCCGTGCGATTCATAAGCCTTGTGGAAAGTCATTTCTATTCACTCCACCCGCCCCTTTGCTGCTCACATCTTCTCCAGGGTGTGCTATGACAGTTCCCATTGCGGAGGAAGGCAACAAATGTCTGTTGTGTCTGTGAAAGTCAGCGAGAGGGCAGGTGGGACTCAGATGTCGCAATAGCCCGTGTTTCACCGACAGAAACAAGTTTGATTTATCATGCTACAAAGAGGGGCACCAGGCTGCTGTTCCACGGCTTGATTCCCCTTGTCAGTTAAATATGCAAGTACAAACAGTTTTAATGCAGCTTTTACCTAAAACAAGCCTTGGGCACCACTCACATACTTTGACATAGGAAAATTGAGCCGCTTTGAACTTCTATGTTTTTTGATAGCTGCTCAGTATGCATCCTGAAGGTTCACCTGTGGGCATTTTTTCCCCCTCCCTGTCCTCCTTTCTAAGTTCCAATCCCTTTGATTAATTGCCAGGACAGATCAGTCTCAAAGAATAACTCCTATCTCATAATTCTTCCTTCTTTCGGAGTTGAAAGAGAACCTGGCGGTACGTTGAACAGGTAAATCCTTCAGTTGAGTTTGAGCGATTTGAGATTCCCAAAGAAAAGCAACGGTTTAATTGCAACCGTTGGCGCTTGGGTGCCTTACCAAAGATGGGGATATTATCACTGTGGGCAGAAGATGTCTGGTTGGGTAGAAGGAGTCCAAGGCAAGGATTGACCGATTGTGGGTTGTGTAGCGGATTAGATCAGAGAATGGAAAAAGTTCAGAGATTGTATGGATTTTTTAGACCCAACACATTTGGAGAAGAATACGAAAGAGATTCCAAAGCTTTGGATTCAAATCTCCGTTGAGCCAGGAAATTCAATCCATCATCTGAAGATTTCAAACTTTCTTCTCATCTAACAGGAAAGTAACGTCCAGAGAAGAACAGGCATGGATGCCACATCATTAATACAGTTTGGGAATGCCATATCTGGAGAGAACAAGAATGTATTCCAACTCTTTTTGGGAAAAAATTAGCTGGATTTATGACTCGCATTAAGGCAAAAAGCAGCCCTTGCAGTTTGTAGACCATTATTTGTGCCTCAGTGTGTTATGTGACCCCAGCCGATTGTAGTTTTAGTCAATAAACCATGATTAAGCTGGGACTGAATGTGACACGTGAACCAGCCATTCTCTTTTCTCTAGAGGAAGAACATTTTTTTGGCAACAGTGAGGGCAATCACTGCACATTCTTCTTAACGTTAATTTTTATTAAAAAGGTAATTCTAATTTCCAGTCCCAGTGGTCTTCTACGTCCAAACCATAATTGATCATTGAAGGTCAAATAGCCACCTCTTGACTAAATGTTGACCTCTTTTACTTGATGGCCTCAAGCTTGGCATCTCAGCTGCATTAATTGATTATTTTAATAAGGTGGCACACTAAATCTTTTAGGGCCTGTAATAAAGAATGATCTGGAGGCTTTATCCCCACATGGCTGCTTTGACTGAGCCATAATGGGTCACATGAGTTGAATTTAACCTGAACAACCAAAAACTGGAACCCTCCTTGTTAATGCCTTATTAACAAGGATCTCCATTAAATTATTATAATTATTATTATCGGCCTGAAAGAGATCTTCACCTCTGAACCCCAATCAGCTAAAGGTATTTGATGAAAGCGTTATAAATATTTAGAAGGAACAGAGAATGGGATGAAAGACATAAAAGCAGATTTTATGGAAACGGGACTTTTTGAACCAATGTAACACAAATATTGGTCTATCTTTATTCCATTTTTTTTCTCTTGTTCATTTTTGGAGCAAAAGTGCCTGATGGACCACACAACATTTGACATGTTTTACCATGTATCTGCCAGTATCAAAATGCATTCTTCCTTAAACTACAGAACTGGTTTTTAAAAAATATTTTAGTTTGGATTCTATGGTAGTTTCAATCTGCGACAGTTTATTCCTGTACACTCAGAAGAGCTTATATATAGTACCAGCTTGCAACCAAAGAAAAGTTCTCCTGGGACTTAGATGGCCTATTTGTCCTTCATGATATAAAAGAGAGAGAGAATCTGTGGAGAATCATCCAGGTCATGGTAGTTCCAATGGTGTTTTTCCAAAAGGCAACTGGACGTTCTTGTTTTGTTTTGTTTTCCTTGAAAATGAAGAGAGAAGCTTCTTGGATGAGAAGAGAAACGTTTTCAAAAAAAAATCAGTTGCTTTTTGGAAAATCACATTTGGAAGGGGGGGGGAGAGAGAAACGGAATGTTGTGGAGGCCAAAACAATAGGGCTGTGAAGGTGTGTAAGCATGCACACATGCACATATGTATATTAAAAAAAAGCAGTTGCCTTCAAAATTAAAGCAATGTAGTTGTATTGCGTGTATGATGTACAGTTCTTTAGATTTGATTTCTAATTTCTGATTGACCTCACGCAGGCTGGATAGGGATAGCCAAAAAGCCGGAGGTGGCCTGAGATCCCCAGAATGCCCAGATCTGACCCCATCAATTCAATCAAATCAGAATAAAGAAATTGGCAAGATATTCAGGCTGCATCGGGACTGCATCACCAAGGAAAATTATTATGACAATGAAGAGCATTGTGAGAAATATCTCCCATCCATCCATCCCAATTCTGGCTCAGTTAATTAAATTCTAGCTTTTTGGCAGGAACCCCCCCCCCTTTTTTTTTTTTTTTTTGACTGATTAGAGCCTTTGAGTTGAAGCAAGTGTGTGGAACAAGAGATGAATCGTATGTAAGGTCCAGGTAATTAATTAATTGATCAGCCTGGATCGTTTTTTCCACCTCTTTTGGAAGGTGAAAGATCGTCCTTCTAGGCAAATTATGCTTTTGTTCACACCTGGGAGTACCTAGCCAGATGTATAAATTGGACCATCTCTTTTTCTGCTCTGCTGCACAATTCCAGACTGTTGTCTCGGTATCCAGAAGACAAACGACAGAGCCAGCAGTCCAGATTTTTGAACCAGGCCCAACCTCTCTGTAAACCTAAACATGCTGGTTCCAGCCACAAGACTCCTAGAACTGGCAAACATCTTCTTCCCGTCATTTTCTAGCAATTATGGACCAGCAGGTTGAATGCCTGCCCTCCGAAATAGCTCTTTTCACAAACGCACCATACCTATTTTCCCACAGCATTTACAAGATGGCTGGGGTTTTTTTGTTTTGTTTTGTTTTTCCCTTGCTTGTTTGGCCTCGACTCCGTAAAGAAAAATGGCTTGGGAAAGTTCTGCTTGTTTGAAATAACTTTCACTAATGGAGATGTGGGCTCTCTGTTCAGCCGGGTTGCTTTCCAATAAAATTAAACGAAAGCTTGCGTGCATCTGCTTTTCATCACAGAGCACGGGGCTGTTGGAGAATAGCATTGTCCTGAAACAAACTTTTTTTTTTCTTCCCCCAAAGTGATAGCTTCAGTTGCTTTTTAAAAATGTATTTTAGTTGTTTGCATGATGCCTTTATTTATTTTTTTTACAAATAGGTAGGAGAACATATTCGACACACCTTCCTCCTTTTTTCCCCACAAGTACAACCTTTTGAGATGGGGTGGGCTGGGAGAGAGTGATTGGCTGAAAGTCACCCAGCCAGCTTTCATGGTTAAGGCAGGACTAGAACTCACCGCCTCCTGGTGATAGGCTCAAAGTCACCCAACCAGCTTTCATGCCTAAGGCGGGACTAGAACTCACCGTCTCCTACTGATTGGCTTAAAGTCACCCAGCTGGCTTTCATGTTACGTATAGTTCTCAACTTACAGCTGTCTGTTTAGCTACCATTCTAAGTTAAAGCAGCACTGAAAAAAAGCGACCCTCATACTGATGACCATCACCATAACCTCAGTCACATTATTTCAATCTGTTGTTGTTAGTTGCGAAGTCGTGTCCGACCCATCGCGACCCCATGGACAACGTTCCTCCAGGCCTTCCTGTCCTCTACCATCTTCTGGAGTCCATTTAAGCTCACACCTGCTGCTTCAGTGACTTCATCCAGCCACCTCCTTCTCTGTTGTCCCTTTCTTCTATTGCCCTCAATCTTTCCCAGCATTAGGCTCTTCTCCAGTGAGTCTTTCCTTCTCATTAGGTGGCCAAAGTACTTGAGTTTCAACTGCAGGATCTGGCCTTCTAAAGAGCAGTCAGGGTTGATCTCCTCTAGGACTGGCTGTTTTGATCGCCTTGCAGTCCAGGGAACTCGCAGGAGTCTTCTCCAGCACCATAGTTCAAAGGCCTCAAATCTTTGGTGCTCAGCCTTTCTTATGGTCCAACTTTCACAACCATACATTGCAGCTGGGAAAACCATGGCCTTGGCTATACGTACTTTGTTGGCAGGGTGATCTAGACACTTGCAATCGACTTACATTTGCAACAGTCAACATGTTGGCTAAAGGTCGTGGCTATTTAGCAGAAATCCAAACAATAAAATTTGGAATAATCTGCTGCTAGCAATCTAGTGTTTTTATTATTTTATGTTTATTGTTAGTCTTTAATTAGGACTCAAATCGCCATTCCTCTTCAACTATTTTAGCACAACTTCTGAACAGCTGTCCTTCTTGATTTAAATCTGTCTTGAATCTCTCTTTCTTTTTGTGCGTGTGAAGACAAAATGGAGAGAGGTAAGCCAAAAAACATATTGCCTTGAATCCCTTGGAGGAAACACGGAGCTTCACTAAAAAATAAAACTACCCTGTGGCAAATGTTTGTCATTTTTGTTTTACATCCCTTCAAAAAATATTCATCAAACACTGAGATAATAATACGGTCTGCAGAGAGAACCCTAACATGACATTACACCATCAAGTTATATAGAGTTGATCCATTTCCTTTCCTCCCAGGTCTAAGGAGTGTCTCTTTAATGGGTGTGTCTGCTACATTTAATAGACTTCTAATTAAAGTGTTGTTGTATAATTTTGTATACATTGCCCTGGTTGTTTTTAGTCGGGGAAGAGTAATTACATGTAATGACATAAGTGAGATGAATGTATGTAATCACATAATTAGAACATGTGTGTGTGTCTGTGTCTCTGGGTTTCCGCTCTCCTCCCCTTCCTTTTTCTTTAAAAGGGAAAAAAAACCCAAATCTTTCACAAATATCACAGGGCCCTAAAATGGTGGCGTTCTAGTTGATCTGTTGAGAAAGGCACTCATTATTTCCCGATTCAGAAAAATAAGAGACATCTTCTCCATGGCGTGTCACAGAAGCAGTGCACTAACACATCAGTTTTCTGGTCCAAGGACATTTAAAGAATTATTATTAATGAAGGAGAGTTCCCACAGGGGATGCAATGTAGCGCCATCAGTGGATGCTACCATTTGCATGGAAGATGCAGGTAAATGGGATAAGGACCAGACCCAATGTATCCTTGCATCTTGTGTGAAACACGACTGGTGTGGTTTCCCAAAGAATCCTGAGCTTTGGAAATTTGTGGGCATGCTCTGTAGGAAAGTATTCATTCAAGAGAAGAGAATGCTCGGAGCTCAGGGTTCATCCGTGGGATCCTTGGTGTTCTCTGAGCTGGGTTGTTTTCCTGAAGCTATTTCACAACTCAATTAGGTAATGTCTTCAGTGCTAAAAGGGAGGAGGGTGTTGGTGGAGAGGAGAAGAAAAACTGAGGTCCTTGATACTCTCTTGAGCTTGGTTGTTTTCTTGCAGATGTTTCATTGTCTAACTAGGTTAGGTAGCGTCAGTGTTAGAGAATGGGATTGGGGCTTGTGGAGGAGGAGGAAGAGAAGGGGAAGGAAGAGCTGGAGGAGGAGGAGGAGCTAGGAGGAGGAGGACTGTGGGGTGCTTGGCGCTCTCTGAGCTTGGTTGTTTTCTTCAGACATGTCATCATTCAACTAGATAACATCATCAGATGATCATTAGATGATGATCATGAACTTCATCATCATAAACATCACCAGAAACATCACCTCCCCAATCCAGCTATGGAAGTTGTGATTCTCTCTCTCTCTCTCTCTCTCTCTCTCTCTCTCTCTCTCACACACACACACACACACACACACACATATACACACACACACACACACAGAATTCCATCTGACAGTTCCATTCAAGTAGTTCTACTCATGTTGCAGCTAGAAGCTTCTGGTTTCTTTTCCAAAATGAGGATCAAAAGATGAACAAGGAGCTAAGTAGCCCGGCAGATTCTAAATCCTGGAAGCAAGGAAAAAGCACCTGAGTTTCTAGAAAGGAACAATTTCATAGCCAAGGATATCTCCAGTAGATCATTCTTAAGGAGAGACTCGCTGGCACAAGAATTATCCTGACTGGCAGATCCAGATCATGATCGTGACAAAGATTCTCCCAGCCAGATCTTCACTGACCTTCCAGTGAAGGTCCTATAGGACAGTGGTTCTCAACCTTTTTAATGCCGTGACCCCCAACCGGTCGTAAGTCGAGGACTACTCAATTGGTGCAGCACCGTTTGCAGAATTGGACTTTTGGTGGGCTTAGCAGGGCAGAGACAGCCTGGACAATTCCTACTGGCTTTTGAAAGCCAATAGAATTAGACTCTATTCAAGAGAGTCTATTCTATTGGCTTTCAAAAGCCAATAGAATAAAAGGGAGTAGCCCAGCTAAGGAAAAGGGGGAAAAAATGGCAGACTGCGTTGTTTGGCGACCCCCGTGAAATGGTCGTTCGACCCCAAATGGGGTCCCGACCCACAGGTTGAGAACCACTGCTATAGGAGATAGTCCAATGTATTTGGTGGGAAGGAGACGATATTCCCAGTGACTTGCCAAGAACTCCTAGAGGATTAATACCTGTTTTTTCATTAGACCACGGGTAGGCAACCTTGGCTCTTTTATGACTCGTGGATTTCAATTCCCAGAATTCCTGAGCCCTGGGAGTTGAAGTCCACGAGTCATAAAAGAGCCAAGGTTGCCTATCCCTGCATTAGACACACCTGTATCCTTCCAACCTGACTTCTGATTTCTGCATTCTTGAAACATAGCATGCCGGTTTGTTTTTTTCTTATGACATTATTTTTCTTCCACTGAGTCATATTCCCAGTCATGGATGTGGAATAGAAGGGTCCAGTTCATTTCTCTTTTTCTGGTATCCCTCAACTTATAACAATTTGTTTAGTGACCATTCAAAGTTTCAAGGGCACTGAAAAAAAATGTGACTTAGGACCGTTTTTTCACAGTTACGACCTTTGCAGTGTCCCCGTGGTCACATGATCAAAATTCAGATGCTTGGCGACTGGTTCATATTTACGACGGTCGCCGTGTCCCGGGGGTGTGTGTCACGTGATCCCCTTTTGCGACTTTCTGACAAGCAAAGTCAACGGGGGAAGGCAGATTCACTTAACAACCGCGTGACTAACATTGACTGCAGCGATTCACTTAATCACTGTGGTCAGACAGGTCGTAAAATGGGGCAAGCTCATTTAACAAACCTCTCGTTTAACAGCAGAAATTGTGATCGTAAGTCAAGGACTATCTGTGTTTGTGGCCTTCGAGTTGGGTTTTGAATTAGCACGATGGCTTCTTGTTCCAGTTCTTTCTGGAAGAACGATGGAGCTTCTTTCCAATAAGATGTTTGAGCAAGCCCCAGCAGATTTATCTTCTCAGGTAGCTTTTGGCTAACAACCGTGCCGTCAGATATTTATGATATAGTGTTCCATTTGGGGTGCCTTCCTCATTTGCATCTTGCCTGC